TTTGATAAATTTAACCTCAATCCGATCTCACGTGTTGTTATTCGCCGGTTCACATCAACTAATGCCTTTATCGCGTCTTTATCAGCTTCAACTGGCCTTCCCGAACGTGGTGCATCTTCGACATCAAAATTGCCGGATCGAAATTTAGCGAACCAGTTCTGGGCACTGGCGTACTGTCAATACACCTTCTCCATACACATCAGTCAATTTCTTTCTGGCTTGAACAGCATTTTTACCCTTTCTGTAGTAAAACAGTAAGATATGTCGAAAATGCTGCTTATCGCTCTCCATATTTAAAGGGCACCAATCAAAAACTACTGTGTAGAATTAATTGGAATTTTTCACACACAAACCTTGCTCTCAAAGCATATAAAAATTATACGGCTTAAATGTGAAGTTGGGTGCAAAAGAATACAATTAAATCCTCTGTCGGGAAAAAACGAAATGACTTTCCGAACAACCATATAGTTTGAATGTTTATATGTATTTATCGAAAAGTTGACGAATGGGTCTAGAAAGCTACAGAACTAACAAAGGATAGAAAACGAAACGGTCCACTGCGCAATGAGTGACTACGCATCAATTTTGGTATTATCAGTTGTCAAACACAAGGCGTAAAGAAATCCTTCTTGTCTACACGGCAAATGGGCATCCCAGCGCTATCTTCCTGTGCAGCATATCACTGGGTAAAACTAAAATTAAATAATAAAACAATAATGATAAAGACAATAATTACGAACCTAACCTAGCAAAAGTTGGTATGCTTAGACTTGCAGATGATATAGCAGTATTAGCATCTAGCAACGAGGTCTTTAAATTTAAATAAAATGGAAGCGGTACTGACAAAACAGTACTGCATGAAAATAAATAAAAGTAAAAGAACAATACTAGTATGCAAGGCAAGAAAATGTAGGGAGGATAGGAGACGAAAAAATAGAAGAAGTGGCCGATTTTAGATATCTAGAATGTCTGATAAGTCAGGACGGAAGGAGTAGTAGAGATATAAAGCAGAGGATAGCGCAGGATCGTGTCGCCTATAATAAAAAGAAGTCATTTCTATATTTGCGAACGGTTAATTTAGAAATTCGGAATAATGGTGTATGTTTGGAGCGCGGCGTTGTACGGGTGCGAAATATGGACAGTGGGCGCGGCGGAAAAGAAAAGGTTAGAAGCGTTCGAAATGTGGTGTTATTGCAGACGAATTATGAGGATAACGTGGATAGAAAAGGTTAGAAATGAAGAGGTATTAGAAAGAACAGGAAAACAGAGGAATCTATGGAAGTCAATAAGAAATAGGCGAGGTAGGTAGGTAGGACAGCTTCTCAGGCATGAAGGTCTAGTCAGAGACATATTAGAGGCAGAAACAGGCGTTAGGAGGGGTAGAGGTAAACCTAGGTTAGATTACTGTTCGCAAATAGTTGTGTGTGGGTTGTTCTAGTTTTAGGGAAATGTGAAGTTTAGCTAAGGATAGGAAAGAGTGGAGATACGTGTCCAACCAGTCTTAAGACTGGCAACCTTATGATGATGAGCCTAGCAGACAATAATTGCATAATATCACCAGTGAAAAATGTTGAATGAAAATAAATATTTGAATAAATTATATTAAAAATTTAAAAATACCAGTGGTGAAATCGAGATGAACTTTTTGTCCATTTTTAAATCCCTAAAAAACTAGGAATGTTGCCGTTTGTATTAATTGAGCTTATTAAATTAATTCTAAAAATTTAGTGTAAATTATTTAAGTATTATGTAAAATATTACTTACAATATACGAAATAATTAATTGTGTCTATTACAGATTTCTATTTGCTTATGTGTGTCTTTGTTTTTATTACAGGAGAAATACCACCATACTAGAACGATTCCATTTTAAAATATCAAAAAGAGAACTTTATGCCAAAGATGATACAACAATCGATGATCTACTGTACAATTTAGCAACAGAACCAATTCTTCATGTTTGTAAGTAATTTATAACAATTATCCTTTTTTATCTAATTGTAAGGATAAAACAAATCACCTAATTATATTATTAGCATAAAAGAATTGTTGGGGTATCTTTCATGAACCAATTTCTTTGAATGTCCGTTTTTCCGAGTAATTGTTTCATCAAAAAATTATTTTTCGAATTTCAAAGAAAGGTTTCGCTGACGTTAAAAATAGAAATTGGATTAATTGTGAATTTTTCAGTCACGGTTTCCACCTGTAGCTGTTTCGGAAAAATCACAGGAACCACTGCGTTTGTTTTAATTAACGAAATCTGATTAAACATAAATTCTTTGTTTTCAAATTTATTCATGTTTTTGTTCTTAAATGAAGAGCTTAGTTCAAATTAGGAAGTGATATAAATAAATTAATAACATTAGTGAATTAATTTTCTTGAAAAAATCAAAGTCTCATTACTAATAATGACTACATATTGGTTCGACCATTCTGGAACCACTAATTCACTAATGAACAAACATTCGGAATGCATCCGTGCACTTAATTTTGTTTTTTACTTAAAACTTGACACAAATTCATTAATCCATTTTTTGGAATAAACAAAAATCGAAGACGAGCCCAAACACATGCAAGCAAAGCAATTAACTGAACATTCAACATAGCCCAAAAAAAATCGAAAATCAAACATACGTAACTTACGGAAATAGAAAATTCGCGATACTTTTTGAACAAACTCGTATAAGCATTACATAAATAATGTTTGATGAAGAATGAAAAACCATTTTTGGAAACCCCTTAACTTATTGAGTTTCTTATTGCATTTGGAATGTTAAATGTATGCAAAATGATTTCTAACGTCTTACAGTTTTCAGACAATTCTCTTGTTTTATCATCAAGAATTCTACTTTTGTCGAATCAACTTGATCTACAGAAAACTATGTGTAGGTGTTTCGTTTAATCTTCTGCTATAGAACATAATAATATTAATCTCCAATTTGGTTCCAAAATCAAATTCAAAAGCACGGTCACGATTCCCTCAATTTGTCATTCAAATCGAATACAGTTCCATCGTAGCTAACGAATAATTTCTTTTGAATGCATAAATCGGTCGTAAATGAACATGTATATATGTTACACACAAAGGGCACCGTTCTTTCTTTTTTCTACTTAAATAACCTTTCACATTTAGGGAGCGTAGGTAGATTCTTTTCTTTCTTTTAACTTCGGTTAAAAGAAAAACGCCGACCAATGTAAATGTGAGAATAAACCAAAGGCATATATGTATTAATTAAACTTCGTTGTAGGGTCATAACAATAATGGATGTTTTCTGAAAACCTATTGTTGGCCTCTTTATTTTTTTCTAATATTGAGTTTTGTGTAATTACAACTCTAATCAGTGTTGACTCTGCTACACTTTAAATTAAATGACACTACTATTCTCTTCGCGCCAAAAAACTTGAAAAATATCGAATCGAAAAATTTTCACCAAGATTTTCTTTATTTTGGTCTAACAAATATCGGGTTCTTCGGAAAGTCATTTCGTTTTTTCCCGACAGAGGATTTAATTGTATTCTTTTGCACCCAACTTCACATTTAAGCCGTATAATTTTTATATGCTTTGAGAGCTCATATAGCAAGGCTTGTGTGTGAAAAATTCCAATTAATTCTACGCAGTAGTTTTTGGTTGGTGCCCTTTTAAATATGGAGAGCGATAAGCAGCATTTTCGACATATCTTACTGTTTTACTACAGAAAGGGTAAAAATGCTGTTCAAGCCAGAAAGAAATTGACTGATGTGTATGGAGAAGGTGTGTTGACAGTACGCCAGTGCCAGAACTGGTTCGCTAAATTTCGATCCGGCAATTTTGATGTCGAAGATGCACCACGTTCGGGAAGGCCGGTTGAAGCTGATAAAGACGCGATAAAGGCATTAGTTGATGTGAACCGGCGAATAACAACACGTGAGATCGGATTGAGGTTAAATTTATCAAATTCAACAGTTTATGACCACTTGAAAGGCCTGGGATTATCCTCGAAGCTCGATGTATGGGTTCCCCATGTTCTCACAGAGAGAAATCTGTGTCGCCGCATTGACGTCTGCGATTCGCTTCTCAAACGTCACGAAAATGATCCGTTTTTGAAGCGCATCATCACTGGGGACGAAAAATGGGTTGTATACAACAACGTCAAACGCAAGAGGTCATGGAGCAAAAAAGATGAACCGGCTCAAACCATTTCCAAAGCCGATATTCACCAAAAAAAGGTGATGCTGTCTGTTTGGTGGGATTTTAAAGGAATCGTTTTTTTTGAGCTTTTACCGGATAACACAACGATTAATTCGGAAGTCTACTGTCATCAGCTGGACAAACTGAATGATGCACTTCAACAGAAAAGGTCAGAACTAATCAACAGGAAAGGTGTAGTGTTTCACCAAGACAACGCGAGACCTCACACAAGTTTGGTCACTCGCCAAAAGCTTTTACAGCTTGAATGGGATACAATGCTACACCCACCATATTCTCCAGACCTGGCACCATCGGATTATTATTTGTTCCGGTCACTCCAAAATTTTTTAGACGGTAAAACCTTCACCTCAAATGAGGAGGTCAAAAACCTCCTCGATCAGTTTTTTGCCAGCAAAGACCAAAAATTTTATGAGCGTGGAATTATGCTACTACCAGAAAGATGACAAAAGGTGTTGGACCAGAACGGTCAATATATAATTTAATAAAGTATTTGTTTATTATACGAAAACTGTCTTTCATTTCCACAAAAAAAACGAAATGACTTTCCGAACAACCCTATAGTTTCTCAAAAGTCCATGAAGCTAACTTGACGGCTACAAAAGAGACAAGTCGTCAAAGGTTACGAGACAATTTTTTTTTCAAATATCTCGCAAATTATCGGTTTTACGTTAAATTATTATAAAAATTGTTTGTGAGATAAATGTGCATAAAATAGGTCCTGTACAAAAATCACGAAAAACCAATAGTTTTCCAGGTACAGGGCTCAGAAAGCGCGTTTTTTGAAGTGAAACTTCTTTATCGATGTTACATCACGCGATCCCGCGTCACAGTGTCTCGCGTCATGCGCCACGTGCGATCCCTAGTGGAGATGTCAAAAAAGAGCCACTTTAGCAAGCTTCAGAAACTAAAGTACCCGAGAGGCACTACATATTATTAAAATTAAAGTACGAGGGTGGATTGATAAGTTTCCGGCCTAACCAAGAGATGACGCCACTAGGCCTACCTTGAGGTGACATTCTATAGTACCATCCTTGGATAGCTTGTAGCTATAGTTTCAGCCCGATCTCCTTGCTAGTGTAGGTTTGACAGCNGTTGGTCTGTGTTCTGTCGGAGCTGCCTGCGACGCGCTGATGAGATCCAAGAAGATCGAAATCGCGATCCGCGTCTGGCAGTTTCGACAGAATATAGACCACTTCGAATTATTTTAGTTTGTTCTGAGTTTTCAGTTTTACGCAGCTGGCGTATATCAACTCGATAATGTTTTGCGGGCTGTTATTTTATAATTTGGAATTCATATTTTCGTACATTCTTGCTAAAGGTACGGTAAGTGGTGATTTCAATTTGGAACTTCAAAATTCCATGGACCTTGACATTAAGCCCGATAAACAACATCGATCCAATATTTTAGATTATCCATTTCCAAGGAGTCTAGAATTTTTTGAGATCTCTTCAGTTAAAGAATTGAAATTCATGGAATCTCATTTTATGCCCTTTTAAGCTTCTAAAACCTTCAATTGCCAATGTGAGAAACTTTCATTTTTCATTTTATATAGTGTTTGTTCGGTGATATCAGCAAAACTTTTAACTGCAAAAGTGTATTGGAAAAGTATTTTAAATAAAATACAAAATACTTTTCTCAAAAAAGGATTTAAATGCAAGATAGAAATAGGCATTTTAAATGCAAGTATTTCGAATAAATCACATCTCTGGTCGTCAGGTAGTCCGTTTGGTCTACACGACTGTCCAAACGGAAAGTCCGATTCAGCCTCCTTGTACGAATTGTGGGAATGTGTGAGTAGTGATTGAGGAAAGACAGATCAGACGGATGAATTGAAGACATAAGATTGTGAAAAATTCTTTTAGAAGTACTTGTTGGTGTCCCAACCTAAGTGATCCACGTTTGCGTTTTTTAATGTATTACCCGAGTCGAAAAATTGGGACTCATTTTATCCTCAAATGAACTATTTAGACTCATTTTTTCCTCATTTAGACGTTTTTAATCTCAGATACCTCAATAAGTTTTCATAAGACTCATCACATTGGATTCTAAAAAGTCTCATTTTATTCTCAATGTCTGCAATCCTATGGCAATAGTCCTCAATTTAACCTCAACAAGAAAAGAATGAGACTTTTTGAAGACAAAATGAGGTTTCCTAAATAATCTTTACTCCTCAAGAGTCTCATTTTGTCCTGATACGGGAAAACCGCGGATAAAATGAGACTTTTGAGTCTTGTAGTTTGAAATATCCCTAAAAATTCTATTGAGATCAAATGAGGACAAAATGAGTCCCAATTTTTTGACTCGGGTTATCTAGTCCTTTAGACCTGCTGGAACGGGTAAGATATATCGTTGAAAGACCCTGATCTGCGAGTGTTAAAATGAATACAGTTTCTTCCTAAAATTTAAAAAATTTAAGCAACAAAAGATAAAATTATTTGTTTCATATTCATAACCGAAAAAACTAATTATCCGTTATGGCGACTCAGAACCTAAAGTGGAATTGGTTGTCTATAAAATAGGTACCTACACTAACAACTTTTAACGTAAATACCAACTTTAAATTGAACGATATGCAGATAAACGATAAGTAAATGATAGAGAATACTTGATCGTAAAATTTTCTCTCCGCTCCATTTTTATGACAAACCCCCTGAGAGAGGGCTATTACTGTCTGAATCAACCGATTGCAAAGAAAATGTCTTTTTAATAACCGGGTGCGCTGCTGCCTTTTTTCCTTAACTACATATACGAGCAATTTCGCTCACTCGCGT